ATGTGTGTCGAGCGGCATGGTGGGATCGTGTGTGGGATAGTGAGACCGGCCGAGAGAGATCGATGATGAGATCGATTATGAGATCGATGGTGAGATTGATCGAGTGAGATCGATGAGTGAGACCGATAAAGAGATCGATTGTGAGATCGATAGTGCAAGAGGGGGCGCGGGCTGCGCCAAGCTTTGCCAGCGTTTCAGTCTTCTGTGGCGCAATGGCGCCGTTAGCTGCCGTTGCGCAAGTTGGGCAAGTTCCCAGGGGGAGGGCCGAATGGTACCAAGGCGCCAAAGAGCAAAGGGTGACGTAAACAACTCGACACCAACGCTTCCAAGAGCGAGCGGCAACGCAACTATCTCCACTGGCATTGTCACAACAACATTCACCACTGTTGCCCATTGCTGGGCCCCTCCCCCCCCCCAACCTCCTTATCACCCGCAGGGTGGTCGTATAGGTAGATATATCGTGTGGCCCGCAAGAGGCTCTCCAAAATGAACTTCCGCGGAAAGAGCTGAGAGGGGATGGGGAATAATTCGCACGGTAGGGCAATACGGAGGAAATCGAAGAGGAAACATGAGTGACGTAGAATCAATCATGAGAGCGACGACGCCAGAAACAATGCAACGAGGAGTTATCGCATTGTGTTCTGTTTTACCATCCTGCCCTTTCGCCTGCGTGCCAATCTTCAATGACTGAGGTATGAGATCGAGGTCGGTTCGGGAAGGGTACCTTCATGTTCTTCGTGCTTGTTGGATGTTCTTGTGCATCTTGGAGAGGATCTCCTCTGATGTTTGGCGTGTTTTGACCAGCGGAGGGTCCCATGTCCGCGAAGATTTTCTTCTGGCCTAGGTTCGACTGTATCTGTTCATTTGTATATGCGCATGTGTGTATGTGTGCTTCTGTGTGCACTCATATCTTCTGTTAAGAAACCCCCTCCCGCCAAGCTGGGTCTCAACATTTCTTAAAATCCGATAACGAATTCCCATAAGCTGGCTCAGTTTCTTAACGCCGGCATCTTCTTGCTGATCTTCCTCAAGATCTTCGGGATCTTCTTCCAGATCTTCGTCGAGATCTTCCTCTGGATCTTCCCTCAGATATTCTTCCCGATCTTCTTCTGTGTTCTCTCCGAGAGTTTCCCCCAGATCTTCCCCCAAATCCTCTCCGAGATCTCCGCCCAGATCTTCCTTCAGATCCTCGCCCAGATCAATCCTTCCTTAGATCTCCTCCCAGATCTTCATAGAGATCTTCCCTTAGATCTTTCCCCTGATCTTCCTTCAGGTTTTCTCCCAGATCTTCCCCTGGATCTTCCCCCAGATCTTGCACCAGATCTTCCTTCAGATTTCCTCTCAGATCTTACTCCCGATCTCCTTCCGGGTCGTCACGCAGCTCTTTCACCAGATCGTTCCCCTGATCTTTCTCCAGATCTTCCCCCAGATTTTCCCCCAGATCTTCTTCCAGATCTTCCTTCAGATCTTCCTCCAGATCTTCCTCCAGATCATCATCCAGATCTTCCTCCAGATCGTCCTCCAGATCCTCCTCCAGATCTTCCTCCAGATCTTCCTCCAGGTCTTCCTCCATATCTTCGTCCAGATCTTCCTCCAGATCTTCCTCCAGATCTTCCTCCAGATCTTCCTCCAGATCGTCCTCCAGGTCATCCTCCAGATCTTTTTCCAGATTTTCCTCCAGATCTTCCTCCAGATCTTCCTCAAGATCTTCCTCCAGATCTTCCCCCAGATCTTCCTCCAGATCTTCCTGTGCCATGAACAACAAGCCTTTGGGGCTCCGTGGAGTGCATCGCACAGGCCGGCAATCGTCCGGAGTCGTCGAGATCTTCCTCCAGATTTTCCTCCAGATCTTCCTCCAGATCTTCCCCAAGATCTTCCTCCAGATCTTCCTCCAGATCTTCCTCCAGAGGTTCTTCGAGATCTTCCTCCAGATCTTTCTCCAGATTTTCCTCCAGATCTTTCTCCAGATCTTCCTCCAGATCTTCCTCCAGATCTTCCTCCAGATCTTCCTCCAGATTTTCCTCCGGATCTTCCTCCAGAACTCTTCCTCCAGATCTTCCTCCAGATTTTCCTCCAGATCTTCCTCCAGATCTTCCTCCAGAGTTTCTTCCAGATCTTCCTCCAGATCTTCCTCAAGATCTTCCTCCAGATCTTCCTCCAGATTTTCCTCCAGATCTTCCTCCAGATCTTCCTCCAGCTTGCATGATATTTCTTTAGATCTTCCCGCAGATCTTCATCAATATCCTCACACATCTCGTCCGATCTTCCTCCAGATCTTCCTTCTCGTGAATCCCACTATCTTCTTTTAGATCTTCCTCAATATCTTTTCCAAGATCGTCGTTTCAGATCTTCTCCCATATCCACTCCCATCTTCATCCAGATCGTCCTCCGGATCTTCCTCCAGATCTTCCTCCAGATGTTCCTCCAGATCTTCCTCCGGATCTTCCTCCAGATCTTCCTCCAGCTCTTCATCCAGAACTCTTCCCCCAGATTTTCCTCCAGATCTTCCTCCAGATCTTCCTCCAGATCATCCTCCGCCTCCAGATCTTCCTCCAGATCTTCATCCAGATCTTCCTCCAGATCTTCCTCTAAATCTTCCTCCAGATCTTCCTCCAGATCTTCCTCCAGATCTTCCTCCAGATCTTCCTCCAGATCTTCATCCAGATCATCCTCCAGATCTTCCTCCAGATCTTCCTCCAGATCTTCCTCCAGATCTTCCTCCAGATCTTCCTCCAGATCTTCCTCCAGATCTTCTTCCAGATCTTCCCCCATATTTTCCTCCAGATCTTCCGCCAGAGATTCCTCGAGATCATCCTCCAGATCTTCCTCCGGTTCTTCCTCCAGATCTTCATCCAGATCTTCCAAATCTTCCTGCAGATTTTCCTCCAGATCTTCCTCCAGAGGTTCCTCGAGATCTTCCTCTAGATCTTCCTCCAGATCTTCCTCCAAAACTTCCTCCAGATCTTCCTCCAGATCTTCCTCCAGATCTTCATCGAGATCTTCCTCTAGCTTGTTCCCCGTGTGTTCATCCAAATACTCCCCCAGATCTCCTTCCATATGTTCCTGCAGATATTTCTCCAGATCTTCCTCCACATCTTCCCCCAGATCTTCTTACAGATTTCCATGGATCGCCTCCCGGATTTTGCTCTGGCGGTTCCCCCGGATATTCCCCCAGATCACCACCCAGATCTTCGCCCAGATCTTGACGTGTTCCTGTATGTTGTTTGCTGCAGGGCCCCCGGCGCCGCAATCGGCACAATCACCGGCACAATCTTCATCGGAACCACCCACACTGGCGTCGCGCTGCGCTAAGAAATTGCATATTCAAAGCTGGCTCTCGCAAGAGGGCTAAGAAATTCAGCGAAGCTGGGTCTCAATTTCTTACTGGAAGATTTCTTAGCATAAGTTTTGAGTGTAGGTGATCATGTATATAGATGTATGTATGCACGCATGCATGCATGCATGTATGTATGTATATGTGTATGCACGTGTGTATGTATATGTGTATGTATGTATGTATGTATGTCTGTATGTATGTATGTGTGCATGCATGCATGCATGCATGCATGTATGTATGTATGTATGTATGTATGTATGTATTCATGAATGTGTGTGTATGTATGTATGTATGTATGTATGTATGTATGTGAGTATGTGTGTATGTATGTATGTATGTGTATGTTTGTGTGTGCATGTATGAATGAATTTCTGTATGGCTGTAGTTATGTTTGTGTGTATGTATGAAGGTAGTTGCGTATATATGCATGTATGCCTGTGTGTACGTATGTATGTACGTATGCTTGTATGTATCCAGCTATCTGTCTGGCTGTTTGTCTATATGTATGTACGTACGCATGTATGTATGTCCATGTGTGCAGGTCATTCGTCGGAGCATGGGGGCGCACGCCCCTGGCCAGGGCACCAACCAGAACGGTGGGTGGACTTTCACGCCGTCCGTTTTCGTTCGGTCTTCTCCTGGTTCACCCACTGTCGTCTCGATTTCTTTCGATTCGTCCTCGTTCTTTTCGTCCGCCTTTCGAAGCGGGCGAGTCGAAGCGGACGAAGCGAACAGGACGAATCGACTAGCACGAATCGACCAGGACGGAATGAAAATCGGACGAAATGCGGCGGAATCACCTGGCACCTCCACACTGGCGCTGAAGGTGTGATCCCCTTGAGACCTGCCGCGGGCGTTTCCAGGCGCCCCCTGGGTGGACTCCGAGATGGCCCAAAGCGGACCCAGAAGCGCCAAGATGATCACCGTAATGGCCCAAGAGAGACCCAGAAGCCCAGAGTGCCCCGACGGTCCAAGGATCACGGAGGCTGTCCATTACGGCCCCAAGATGGCCGCGAAGTCGGTCCCAAGAGGCAATAATCATTGATTTTTGCGCTCTTGCGTCTTTCGCCGCATGCGCAGGACAGGCCGCGAAACGTTCGGTCGGCCACTAACTGGCGGAGAGCTTGCGCACACTGTTATGGGGTGTTCACATGCGCCGACCGTGCCAGTTTCGCGCCCGTCGCCCGATCGCGCTAGAGATACTTACGCCGATTTGGAGGTAGCAGTTATGCTATTGAACGGCCGGTTATCCTAAGGAAGAGATGGCGAACATAACAAGAGAGGGATGCATCTATATCTATATATATATAGAGAGAGAGAGAGAGAGAGAGAGAGAGAGAGAGAGAGAGAAAGAAAGAAAGAAAGAAATAAAGAAAGCAAGAGAAAGAGAAAGAGAGAGAGAACAACAAGAAAGACACACATGAGAAAGAGAGGAAGAGAGGGAGAGGGAGAGAGGGAGAGAGAGAGAGAGAGAGACAGAGAGAGTGAGGCGGGAAGAAAAATAAGTCCATCCGTGTTCTTGCTGAAGCCGGTCTGGCTCAGATCTATAATGCCTCCCACTCGAACTTGAGCAGCTGCCGACTCACCGTCTCTGGGCCGGGGCAGTTTCGGGTAGTTACTGTATTTTACTTCGTCCATACCAACTGCCAACTCGCCTGGCAGGATGTTCGCTGCGAGTGACCGCGCACGTCAGCGGCCCTGGCGTCCAGCGGTGCCGCCCCCCGGCCTGCTCCTGGTGACCTGCACCCTGCTGAGGGCCAGCGCAATCGGCCTCCGCAGCGAAGCCTCGGTGGGATCCGGCAGCCAGGGCCTCTGGCAGTGGCTGTTCGGCGGCTGGGGCAAGCAGAAGCATCGTTCCCAGAGCTTCGACACCCAGGAGTACGCAGCCATGAGCTGGAAGGAGGCGACCGAGAAGGCGAGGTCGATCGCGCTCCAGATGACCCCTGAGGAGCAATTTCTGGTGGTCGGGGGCTCGCACAACATGGAGCGAGGCTACTATGTCGGCAACACCGCAGCCTTTGAGAAGTATGGCATTCCAGCTTTGCGGATGCAGGACTCGAGCAATGGCTTCCGTACCACCGAAGACGAGGAGTTCAACACGACCACACATTTTCCTTGTCCACTAGCTCTCGGCGCAACCTGGGACGAGGATCTCATCGAGCGCACGGCGGCAGCCATAGGTGAGGAGTTCAAGCAAAAGGGTGCCAACGTGGTGCTGGGGCCCTCGTTGAATGTGCACAGAATCGCCGCGGGCGGCAGGAATTACGAGTACATCTCTGGGGAGGACCCATACTTAGGGTCGCGCTATGCCGCACCATTCATTCATGGAGTGCAGAAACAGGGATTGGTCGCTGTCGCTAAGCACTTCGCGTTCAACGAGCAGGAGACGAACCGGAACGAGGAGAGCTCGGAGATCGACGCTGGGACCGCGTGGAATCTTTATTACCCACCGTTCGAGGCTGCAGTCAAGGCTGGCGTGGGTGCCATGATGTGCTCCTACAACAAGGTAAACGGCGAGCATGCCTGTGGCAACGGACAGCTCTTGAGAGGAGACCTGAGGGAAACGATGAAGTTCCACGGTTGGGTGATGTCTGATTGGATGGCCACACACTCGTCCATGGACATTACCAATGGTCTGTCCCAGGAGATGAACGTGGGCCCTCCTGCGCATTTCACCCTGGCGAAGTTCAGTGAGTTCGGTCCTGTAAAGCTTATTGAGGCAACCACCGATGTCCTCTCTTCGATGTTCCGCCTTGGCCTTGATCGTGAGTCCAACCCTCCGTGTGGGGGGCACCAGCCGTGCACCGACGTGAGGTATTCCAACGCTCGCAGCGCGAAGCACACAGCGCTGGCCCGTGAGGCGGCTACTGCATCGATGGTGCTGCTGAAGAACAGCAACGGCACCGGGCCAGTCCTGCCCCTGCGCGCCGGGCCGAAGAAGCGACTGGCCATCGTGGGTCTCCCAGCGACTGCCAAACGAGGCGAGGCCTCGTCCAGTTGCCCTGTGCTGCGGCTGGAGGAGGGCAAGAAGAGCAAGGACTCAGAGGAGGGCCAAGTACACATTCCGCTAACGTTGCCTCGTTTTTGCGTTTTTGCGCCTCTTGGGAGGCCCTCGACGCCACCGCTGGATTCGCTTCGAAATTCTGGCCAGAGCGCACCCCGGGAGAGGTCCGGGGAGTAGCCGTATCGGTATTTTGTGGTTTCCCCAAGGACGAGTATTGGGCGTGCAAGAAGAACATGAGGGCGGACTACTACGGTGGGGGCGGTTCTGGCTCAGTCGTGGGCCCAGACCCCGTGACCCCGTTGGAGGCCATCAAGGAGCGCGCCGAGAAGTTGGGCATCGAGGTCGTTAACTACACGACGAAGGAGTCACTGAACGCCGTGAGCGAGTCCGAGGTCGCCCGCGAGGTGGACATCGTGTTAGTTTTTGCGGCCACCACCTCAGTCGAGTCCATCGACCGCCCTTCCCTGAAGCTTGACGACCACGCAGACGACCTAATTTCGAGATTTGCCAAGGTGGCGCCCACGGTGGTGTGCATGCAGACGCCCGGCGCTGTGTTGACCCCGTGGCGGGATGAGGTGTTCGGCATCGCGAACCTGTTCTTGGCTGGCGAGGAGACGGCCCACGCTTGGGTTGCCAATCTCTTCGGCGATCACACGCCGGAGGCGAAGCTGCCGATCGCGATGCCCCATTCCAGGGACCGTCATCATGCTTTTAACTTGGTCCTTCCAAATCCTGGAGCAGAGGCAGGGACGGAGAAGGAATAAAGTGCGAGTGGAATTGGTACATGCATATGTGTGTACGTATATGCACCTGTGTATGTGTATGTGTTACATGTTTATGCACATGTATTGGTATGTGCATATACATGAGGATATGTATATGTACATGTATATGTATAATAATGCACGTATGCTTATGCATCTATGTATGCACATGTGTATGTATGTGGACATACATATATGTATATATGTATATGTAAATAGTTATGCATTTGTGAATGTATGTTTTGCTGTGCTTGTATGTGTGTTATGTATATGTTTGTGCATCTATACATATCAGTACATGACTATACTTGTGTATATGTGGATGTATAGGTGTAGTTGCATGCATCTGCATGTGTACATGTACTGTGTGTATATATGGGCACGTCCATGAATATTCAAAAGTATGTATATGTGTGCATGTTCATGCAGGTGCTTATATATGTATGTATGTGTGTACGTAATGTATATGTATATGGGTGTGCTTAGGTATATGTGCATGTGCCGATGCTTTCAAATTGCATATAATTGTGCATGCACACATGCAGGCCTAGGTAATTGTATATGGGCAGGTATCGGTTTATGTAGACGTATATATACACATGCATGTACGCATGTCGAGTCATACATGCACGTGTATATGTGTACATTCATATGTATGCATGCATGTATTGTGTAGGTACGTATGCATGTATGCGCGGATAAGAATGTATGTATGTATGTATGTATGTATGTATGTATGTATGTATGTATGTATGTGTGTGTATGCATACACATATATATGTGTATGCATGCATATCTAGAATACTATGTTGACTGATTATCTGGGATGGCAACCCACATACCTATATATATATATATATATATATATATATATATATATATATATATTTTGTATACACATGCATCTATATATACAACCTTTATATATGCATATAGGTATATAACCGACGGCGCCTACGGCGAACCACTGCCGCCAATGCCTCTCGCAACCGCCCATGCGGCCAAACGTTGGGCCAACATCTGGCGATTATATTGGAAAACGTGTAGGTTTTGCCGTAGCCGTTGTGGAAATCCCTGGGAGAGAACTTGGGAGAGTAGGAGAAATGAACAGCAGAGAGGGGGAAAGGCGAACGAGGACGAGGATGAGGAAAAGGATGCTTGTTGAGACTGTCTTGGGGCTTCGGGCGGGCTTCCTGGGAGCCCGTAGAAGCCGTCTTGGGGGACCCTCTTGGCCATCTAGGAGTTCTTTGGGGCCGTTTCTGGGCCCTCTTCGGGGCTACTTGAGTTGTCTTGGGGCTTTCTTGGGCCGCCTTGCAGGCCTGGGGGCCTCTTGGGCGGTCATGGGGCGATCTTGGAGACCTGTGGGGGTCGTCTTGTAGCGTCGGAAGCCCGCCAAGGCAAGTATGCTAAAGTCATTGAAACATCTAAGGTGGATCAATGATGTTGGCCTCCTTGATCTTCTCTTTGAGCCCTTTGGGGCCTCCTGGGGGCCTCATGGGTCGTCTGGAGGGCATATTGAGCCGTCTTGGGGCCGCCTTGGGCCGTCTTGCAAGCGTCTTGGGATTGTCTGAGAGGCCATATTGGGCCTTGGACCTTCGCAACCGTCTTAGATGCCATCCTGAGGCTTGGACGAAACTGCCACTGAGATGGGCTTCGCCTGTGTGGCTGGCGGGTCGGACCAGAGGCCGAGGGCCTCCTGGGCTTGGCTGCCTGGACGCGCGCCCTTTATGGGGCGCAGTTCGTACCGTGCTCAGAACGTCCGTGTCAATACGCTGCGTGTTGGCTCAACGCATTGGCCCACGTTTTGGCGAACGCATCGTGTCAGACCTGCGTTTTCAGTCCTCCGTGTCGAATCGCCCCGCGTTGCGAATTGCGTGTCGTGGCAGCTGCGATCCTCGTGGCCTCTCTGAGGGCCTGCCAGCGGTCCCGTTCTCCGCTAGAGGTGGCTCGAGGTGTGAGCACGTGTCCCCCCTCTTGGGCCCGTGGTGGGGCCGTCTTGTGGGCCCTGGGGGCCCTCCTCGAGGACATCGGGGAACCGTATTTGAGCGGTCCTGGGTGGCCTCTTGGGCCGTCTTGGAAGCTCTTCGGACCGAGCCAATCTGGTGCAATTGTAAGAATATGCGGTGTTTTAGTCAATTTGGCCTTGTGTGCCGGACTTCAGTGACGACGGCCGGAGAAGCCCTCTTGAGGGCTCCAGGACGGGCTCTGGGACCATCCTAGGCCATGTTGGACATGTTGGTTCCCGAATCACACTTCCAGTACCTCTGGAAAAGCAGCGCGGGGAAACCAACGTGCCCCGCAGATAACAGTACCAGAGAGAGAGAGAGAGAGTTCGAAGGGACCCGACGACACTCCACTCAGTGCCAACGGCACGGAGGCAGACATCTTTATGTATATGTATGTATGTATGTATATATATATATACAGGTATGCATGTATGCATGTATACATGTATGCATGTGTGCATGCATGCATGCTTGTATGTATGTATGTATGCATGCATGCATGCATGCATGCATGTATGAATGAATGAATGTATAATGTAGGTATGTATGTATGTATGTATGTAATGTATGTATGTATGTATGTATGTATGCATGCATGCATGTATGTATGTATGTATGTATGTATGTGTGCATGTGTGTATGTATGTATGTATGTATGCATGCATGCATGCATGCATGCATGTATGTATGTATGTATATATGTATGTATGTATGTATGTATGTATGTATGTATGTATGCATGCATGCATGCATGTATGTATGTATGTATGTATGTATGTATGTATGTATATATATATATGGATGTGTGTATATAATGTATGTAATGTATGTAATGTGTGTAATGTGTGTAATGCATGCATGTATGTATGTATGTATGTATGTATGTATGTATGTATGTATGTATGTATGTATGTATGTATGTCGGTAGGTAGGTAGGTAGGTAGGTAGGTAGGTAGGTAGGTAGGTAGGTAGGTAGGTAGGTAGGTAGGTAGGTATGTAGGTATGTGTGTGTATGTATGTATGTATGTATGCATGCATGCATGCATGCATGCATGCATGCATGCATGCATGTATGTATGTAGGTATGTATGTATGTATGTATGTATGTATGTATACACACATCTATACATAAAGAAAGAGAGAGCTGTGCTAATATAGTTTTCAACGGTGCATCGAGAAACATGGCCCGCCTAAATCGATGTCTGACAGGGGAGGCTGGGTCCTGGGCGCCCTGGCGAACCCAAAGCGGCCCGAGACGGTTCCGAAGGCCCCACGAGGGACCACGAAGGTTTCAAGAGACTCTGAAGGGATCCCCAGCACGGCCAAGACGGGCCAAGGACATGTCACGATGGCCCCAAGATGGCCACAAGATTTCACAATAGGCTCTCAAGAGGATCCAAGAGGAGGCACTTTTGATTTCGCAAAGGATGTATTCAACCGTATTAACAAATCCCAGGGAGGCTTTTCCAAGGGGGGTTGTCTGGAGGGGTTGTCTGAATCCCCGCTGGGTTGTCCAAGGGGTTGTCCTGGGTAGGGTTGTCGTCCTAGATCAGCATGGGTTGTCTGGATTGTCCCGGGGATTGCCTGGAGATTCTTTTGGTCGGTTTTTTTCAATTGAACATAGTAGTATGAGTTTCACATTCTCGTCTTTTCGGTTTTCCGACCCATGAGGACGGCCCAAGGGGCTTCCACTATCGCACCAACGTGAGCCAAAAGGCGCCCAAGAGGGCCCCGAGAGGTGCCCAAGGCGGCCCAAGCCTCCAAAGAGGCTCCACATAACCCAAGAGGACCCTAAGACTGGGCGATCTCGGGAGCCTCTTGGGTCGCCATGGGGCGTTGGAATCCCGAAAGGGCGAGATCGCTACAATCATTGAAAGCAAATGGAAACTAAGTTTGGTCTCTGGGGCTCAATTCGGGGTCCTCTGGGGACCCTCTTCGATCGTCTCGGAGCCTCTTGGGCTAATTGGGGCCCATGTTGGGCGTCTTGGAGCTCTCTTGGGTTTTCTTTCCCTCGACCGTCTTGTGACGCTCTCGGGATCTTCTGGCCCGTCTACACCACCTGGCCTCAGGAAATGTCACGAGGGAAATCCTGGAGAGCACGCGAGACATTTCAAGCAATGACGGATTTGGGTCTCTGAGCCTCTTGAGGAGTATGTGCAACATTCAATGTTGAAGTCTCGGAGCTCTTGATGGTCCGAAGTCGCTCCACCCAATGGATTGCGGCTCGGTGACGCGTATGTGTTTATGTATGCATGTACATATACACATAGGCATCGCCACTCTATATACACCTATAACCCAGCGTACGTCTACATACACGCGTGCGTACATCCAGGCATTCCCTTGTGAACATATACGCATCGATACATATGTGCCTGCGCGCGCACGTGTGTGTGTGTGTGTGTGTGTGTGTGTGCAGGTGCGTGCGCGCGCATGAGTGTATGTTTGTGTGTGTATTTGTGTACGTGTATGTGCGCGTGTTTGTTTATCTGTTTTTTTGTGTGTGCATGTTGTCTGTCTGTTTGTGCGTGTGTGTGAGTGTGCATGTGCGTGTGTGTGTGTGTGTGTGTGTGTGTGCATGTGCGTGTGTGTGTATGTGTGTGTGTGTGTGTGTGTGCGTGCATGTGCGTGCGTGTGCGTGTGTGTATATATGTTTTTGTGCTTGTGTGCGTGCGTTCGTGTGTGTTTGTGTGCTCTTTTTCGTTGTGTGTGTGTGCGTGCTTGTGTGCGTGTGTGTGTGTGTGTGTGTGTGTGTGTGCGCCGGCTCGCGCGGGGCCTGCTCTTTGTGCCCGACTTGCCTCGCCTCGCGCGAGGCCGCGATTGCCCACATGGTGTTTGTGTGTGTGTGCCTGGATTTATATGATGTGCGCATTTACACCTATATATACAGACACAACTATGTGCACACATGAATACATATATATATATAGAGAGAGATAATAAAGGGAGGAAGAGAGAGAAAGAGAGAGAGAGAGAAAGAGATAGCGAGAGAGAGAGAGAGAGCGAGAGAAAAGAGAGAGAGAGAGAGAGCGATAGAGGGAGAGAGAGAGGAACACATGAACCGTAGCTTGTTTGATTCATGTCATCGCGCGGCCCCTGACAGTGCTTGATTTGCACTCCTCATGGCCAAACCCCGTGCCGACCACAGGCCTCCAACCATGGGGCAGCAACCATCAGGCATCAGCCACATGGCAGCAACCCTAAAACATCATACGACACCAATCCTACGGCACCAACCAGCTGCCGCGAACTATGGGGCACCGGCCACACGGCACCATAGGGTACCACCCATAGGGCACCAACCACAAGGCACCACCTACATGGCACCAACCATATGACACCAACCATCGGCTCCTCCCTCCTCCCCTCCTCCCTCCTCCCCTCCTCCCTCCTCCCCTCCTCCCTCCTCCCCTCCTCCCTTCTCCCTTTCTCCTCCTCCCTCACGCGGGGGACTACAGAACATCGACCATGGGGCACAAACGCAGTGGACCTCGGCGCGTCAACGGCCGACTGCTGGAAGACAGGGAGCCACGGGGCACCAACCATAGGGCAGCAGCGCATAGGACACCGGCGCGGCAACGGTCGATTGCGGAGCTCCACGGATCATCGGGCGTCAATATAGATAGGCAGCAACGCGTAACTCGCCTGCCCGTCAACGGTCGCCTGCGAAACGCATGGGGTCGCAGGGCACTCACCGAGGGGCACCAACGCATACGACACCCGCGTGTCAGCGGCCGACCCCAGAACACCTGGACCAGTTCCCCTCCAGGCAAGCACCCACAGGGGCAAGCACAGCTTGGGGACAAACGTTTGAAGTACTTGCGTGGTGCTTCTCAGGAAGACCAGATCCACTACGGCAAGAGCAAGACGGTGCCCTACCAGGAGGGGATCTGGAACTCATACCGGAATGGTTATTTCAGGTGGGCGTTCCCGTTCGGCCACGGGCTCTCCTACACGACGTTCGCTTACGACGAGCCAGAGGCTTTCCTGGGTGGCACCGGCTCGGACGACTGCGACAAGGTGGTTTGCGTGCGGATGCAGGTGACGAACTCTGGCGCCTTTGCAGGCAGAGAGGTGGTCCAGGCCTATCTCCAGTTCGAGCAAGACACCGGCTTCCCGATGGTCCTCAGGGGCTTCCAGAAGACCGAAGTGCTGCAGCCTGGGAGGAGCACCGAGGTGAGCCTGGACTTCGGGCTGCGAGACCTGTCTGTTTGGATGCGAGAATACGGTTGTCGGCCGCGCGCAGAAGAGGGCAGTGGCGAGGGGGACGGCTTTCTAAGAAGTCCTTTTGCAGAAGGGCCCTGGGTCCATCTTCGCAGCCGTCATTAGAAGCCGCGAGTAGTGTTGAGAAGCTCCCTGGCTTCTGAGAAGGCCGCCCCCTCGTACCAGCCCCGTGTGCGCGCCGACAAGGTTGGGTGGCGCAGCCGCAGTTCATCATCATGCTCGGCTCGTCGAGCATGGACATCCGCCGCATGCTGAATGTGACCATCCCCAACTCCGTCCCAAACAAATACTGAGGAGTCGCTGCCTGTTGACTGGTCCTCGATTGCAGTCGATTGCAATGCATGCTGAAAGATGGAGAGACTGGAGGAAGGGAACCTTCGAGACGACGAGGGATGGATGGATGGATGGATGGGGAGGGATGTGATGTAGAAGGGAGGGATCGGACCAGGCCTGTCACCGTGGTGACCCAGGGCGTCCGACAGAGAAACGCGCGAGGAAGGGGATGAGGAGGTAGAGAGGGAGGGGCAGGTTGGGGGACGGAGGGGAAACACGGGATGGAGGTGAGGAGGAATCGGAGGGACCCCCTCTTTTTGCTGCTCCTCTTCTTTCTCCTCCTTTCATTCTCCTCCTCCTCAGTGACCCGCCATTCTGGCCTACGTGCTTTGTGGTGCGGTGCCCACCTTGGCATATCGCTCAATCGGGGGCCACGCCACCATACATATGCACTCTCATTCTGACCCTGGTCGCACACGCTCGGAAAAACTGAGAACCTAAAAACTCCACTTCTGTTCATTCAAGAGCAGCGTGGCCGAAACTTCACTCGCACGAGCAGCGGATTTACTACGAAGTCCTTGGCGCCAAATTGACGACGACCGCCGAGCTGAAGCGAGATGCCGCCACGTACGAACGCATATGCTGAAGTTTCCAAGACATCGTGTGCCATGTCTGGCACCAGATACGGTAAATGTTGCTCGGCAGCCGGATGTACACAAACTTTCCAGGTGGCTTGCTGTGGCGCGATGGTTAATGCCAGTTCAAGGCGGGGATTTATGCATAACAAGCTCCTGTGGGCCTCGGCAGGCGGTGGGTGTGAATACATTGGGGGCACCTGGGGCCAGCACGTATCCATACCCACCGCCCCCTGGAGTCCCAAGGTGTCGGCTCTGCGGACGGTGTAGATGGATGCATCCCCCCTTCACAAACAGCCCTAGTCTTGGTGTTTGTATTGGTACTCTTCTGCTCTCGGTCTCGTTCTTGTGCATTGGCGTTCCTCTATCCTTGAGTTCTCGGTACTGGGCTTGCTCCAACACTTGTGTTTTTATGTTCTTGGCATTCTCTTAAGAGGAAGAGGAGGAGGAGGAGGAGGAGGAGGAGGAGGAGGAGGAGGAGGAGGAGGAGGAGGAGGAGGAGGAGGAGGACAGTTCCTTACGTTCTTGGTCTCTATCTTCTCCAGCCTAGGGGTGCCCTTCGCTCGTGGTGCCTCTGGGTGGCCTCGGGCCGTCGGCCAGGGAGCCCGTCTTCCGGACCAGGGCTCCAAGGGGAAACCGTGCAGGCCAGGGGGCCTGTCTTCTGGACCAGGGTTTTCGCGGCCGCGCTCCTCCCCCTCCTCCTCCTCCGCCCTCCTCCTCCTCCTCCTCCTGCTCCTCCTCCGCTTCCTCCTCCTCTTCCTCCTCCTCCTTCTCCTTCTCCCCCAGCTGCATCCGAGGGCGCCACAGCCGCAGCCGAAACTTGAACAGGAGTGTGATCGGTTTTTTATGCCTTGCTTTGCCGATCGGCGCGGGCTCCCAACCCCCCCTCCCCCCCCACCCATGGATCAGATCTTGGCTGTTTGGGGGTTCCTGTTTCGAGCACCCAGAGGCCGCACGGTTCCTAACGGCCGCACGAAGCAACGGTCTGGAGCCAGACCCCCCCCCCTTCCCCCTCCTCCTTCCGCCCAGTGTTGAGACGCCGAATAAGAAAACGCTCACACAATGCAGAATACAACTGAACCCTCGACCCTAAACAACACGATGCAGACGCAGCCTGCCTGCGGCCACCGTGCTTGTATCAGGGATATTGCAGATCTGGGCGGTTCGGCTTGATACCTCTGCAGAAAAGACCCCTCGCTCTACTTTTTTGTTGACCCTCCTGACTCAGGCCTCCTCCCCACAGGCTTGGCGTCCTTTTACTGCTTGCTAAGCAGAAGCAGCCCCAAGTTTTCCATGACGCTCGTGAGATTCGCCAGGACGCTGCCATGATGAATCACGATCTTGAGGCAAAGGGGTCTTGAGATTTTCCGCCGCCCCGTCAACCAACAACTCGGGACGGAACGCCGACCCCAGGGAAAGCCCCAAGGTCAAAAGGACTCGTTTCCCTCAGGAACCCTTTGTGCCCATGGCAAAGAAAGGAGGAGGGTCAGCGGGAGGGGGGAGGAGATGGGGAGTGGGGAAGGGGAGGAAGACGGGGGAGTGGGGATGAGGGAGACGAGGTGGAGGAAGGTGGCGGAGGTGTCAGGAAGGGGAGGGGATTTGGGGATGAGGGAGGAGGGCCAGGGGCCAGGAAGATGTGGGGAGAAGATTGGGGAGCGCCGGGGTAGCAGGAGTATGAGGAGGAAGGAGGGGGGACAGAGTTGGAGGACGAGGATGGAAGGTGGGGAAAGTGCGAGGATGGGAGGGGGGAGGAGGCACTACCACCACCACCACCATTATTCCCCATATCCTAAGGATTGGGGTTCTTGTTATTACTCTGACGCCTCCCACTGCTCCTCCTTCCTCCCGCTCGCGCCTCCCTCCTCCCAATGATAATCACCAGATAAGACAAGACAAGATAAGATACTACAAGATAAGATAAGATAGCACAATATATGATAAGGTAAGATAAGATATATGACAAGGACTCGATAAGATAGGACTCGATAAGATAAGATGAGACTCACTCTCACTCAGACTCACTCACAGTCACATTCACTCACACTCACACTCTCTCATGATCACAAAACGCTGCCAGGGGCATCATTTGGGAGCCCCAAGGGGGAGCCACCCTGGCTGATCTCACGAGCCCGTTCGCGCCGATTTTGGTGGGACGTCTCAGCTAAAATTGCCGTTTGGCCTCCCCAACATGTCTCTCTTGAGAGCCTCATGGTCACAAAACGCTGCCAGGGGCATCATTTGGGAGCCCCAAGGGGGAGCCACCCTGGCTGATCTCACGAGCCCGTTCGCGCCGATTTTGGTGGGACGTCTCAGCTAGAATTGCCGTTTGGCCTCCCCAACATGTATCTCTTGAGAGCCTCATGGTCACAAAACGCTGCCAGGGGCATCATTTGGGAGCCCCAAGGGGGAGCCACCCTGGCTGATCTCACGAGCCCGTTCGCGCCGATTTTGGTGGGACGCCTCAGCTAGAATTGCCGTTTGGCGCCCCCAACATGTATCTCTTGAGAGCCTCATGGTCGCAAAACGCTGCCAGGGGCATCATTTGGGAGCCCCAAGGGGGAGCCACCCTGGCTGATCTCACGAGCCCGTTCGCGCCGATTTTGGTGGGACGTCTCAGCTAGAATTGCCGTTTGGCCTCCCCAACATGTATCTCTTGAGAGCCTCATGGTCACAAAACGCTGCCAGGGGCATCATTTGGGAGCCCCAAGGGGGAGCCACCCTGGCTGATCTCACGAGCCCGTTCGCGCCGATTTTGGTGGGACGTCTCAGCTAAAATTGCCGTTTGGCCTCCCCAACATGTATCTCTTGAGAGCCTCATGGTCACAAAACGCTGCCAGGGGCATCATTTGGGAGCCCCAAGGGGGAGCCACCCTGGCTGATCTCACGAGCCCGTTCGCGCCGATTTTGGTGGGACGTCTCAGCTAAATTGCCGTTTGGCCTCCCCAACATGTCTCTCTTGAGAGCCTCATGGTCACAAAACGCTGCCAGGGGCATCATTTGGGAGCCCCAAGGGGGAGCCACCCTGGCTGATCTCACGAGCCCGTTCGCGCCGATTTTGGTGGGACGCCTCAGCTAGAATTGCCGTTTGGCGTCCCCAACATGTATCTCTTGAGAGCCTCATGGTCACAAAACGCTGCCAGGGGCATCATTTGGGAGCCCCAGGGGGGGTCCACCAGGGGCTTCATAGTCACCAAACGCTGCCAGGGGCAGCATTTTGGCTTCCCAAAGAGGAGTCGACCCGGGCCTCCTAGTCGCCAGAGAGAGAGAGAGAGAGAGAGAGAGAGAGAATAGAGAGAGAGAGAGAGAGAGAGAGAGAGAGAGAGAGCGAGAGAGAGGGAGAGGAGAGAGAGAGAGAGAGAGAGAGAGAGAGGAGCGGAGAGAGAGAGAGAGAGAGAGAGAGTGAGAGAGAGAGAGAGAGAGAGAGAGAGAGAGAGAGGGGAGTTGAGAGAGGAGACAGGCGAGAGAAAGAGAAAGAGAGAGAGAGAGAGAGAGAGAGAGAGAGAGAGAGAGAGAGAGAGAGAGAGAAGAGAAGAGAGAGAGAGAGAGAAGAGAGAAGAGAGAGAGAGAGAGAGAGAGAAGAGAGAAGAGAGAAGAGAGAGAGAGAGAGATAGAGATAGAGATAGAGAGAGAGAGGAGAGAGAGAGAGAGAGAGAGAAAGTGGAGAGAGAGGGGGGGGGGGGAAGAGAGAGAGAGATCGGACAAGTAGGCGGACCAGGGTCCGTCCGCGAGGCGCACTGCGGTGCGACAACTCGCAAGCACTATTTGCGGCGGTGCAGCCTTAAGATACGAGGGCGGGCTACAAAACCCCCTCCCCCGGCGCAGTGCGACTGACGCTACAGACGGCGGACAGACGATGAAGATCTCACCTGACAGACCGCGTGAGGTAAAAGGCCCCAACAAGAAAGGCGACGTGCTGGCACGTGGCTAGGCGGCTTGGCGGACCGCCAGTTGGGCGCTTGGCCGCTAAGCGGCGCGCAGTGACGGGGCACCCCCCGCCCCCACGCCCTGACACCGTGGACGTGGAGCCACACGTACACACGGGCAGGTAGAAAGGAGAGGATCAGCGCGGGGCACCAGGTGGAGCGCCGCGGAACGATGACAACATAGCTTGGATGTTGAGTGACGGCACGACACCATCGGGCGAGGTGGTGAGCAGCTCGGCGAAGGCTCGCCCAGCGCTGTGGAGGCGCTGGAGTAGAGGACCTTGACGAGCTTGGGCAGCGGCGAGGTCCGCGGCGAGAGCTAAGCACTTCTGCTGAAGGGCAGCCATAGCCTGTGACAGCTCGGTTTCACGGTCGGTGAGAGGTGGCTGCTCAGTGACATCCGCCGAGGATCTCGAGACGGAGGCGAGGTCCTCGGTACGCCTGTCCAGGTGGGCTAGCGGC